ATAATATACAGGGAGTTCCATTTAAAAAAAACAACTATAATATTTTTTACTTATTTGGGACACTCTGTATCTTGTAAAAATATTTTTAAATTGTAGGTCTAATAGTCCTTCAACCAACCCAAAACTTACAATTTGTAAAAATCTAATCGTTTAGCTACAATACTCCGTGTCATATGTGGTGAACAACCCTGTATATCACTTTTTCAAACATGTCCTTTAAATCCTCCAATGACACTTTGTGCAGTGTGGAATTGGACGTGGGTCATCAATTTTAATAGTAGTTGATTTTATTCCAACATCTTATTTCATTCAATCTGATATCTCAATTATTACGAAAAATACAAGGTTTTCAAAAAGGGGTATTTATCTTAATTTTACTAAATTTCACTTCGAATGTACTTTTTTTATTCTACCAAACTACCAACAATATTCAAAAGATAAAAAAATTTGTAGGGTACAAGCCATTTCATAATTGTTTTGCAAATACGTATCCTCAACGTGACAGTAGTTACTCGTTTCCTTGCTTGCTCATGCCCCTCATGAGAATATCAATCTTTATCTTAAAACAGGTACATGTTTATCTTAAAACAGGACTCAGCCTGAAATGAGTACTTGGGATTAACAATCCTGAGGTAATAATAGGCCGTTGAAGCCACATTACCTTCCTTGTATACCGAACGGCTCTCTAGCATGGCAAGCTGTAGTACCTTGCTACTCCCAAGGCGTTAAACGTGGTTAAACGCTATATACAGGAGCTATTATTATTGTTATTATTATCTTCAAGCAGGTTCTAGAGGAGTTGCTACTTCTTCTGTATTTTAAGCTGCGGAAATTATGGATCTTAATCTTCTACTTAATAAGTATGTAACAAATATGTTCATTCGGATTACGATCTGGGGAGCAAATATTTTAAACTTTTTGGTGTCTTACCTTATTAAGTAATTCTTATCAGGTAGTAATGGTTAATTTAAAATGTGATTTTAAGTAATGTCAGTTACAAAACATCGTCCTTTAAAACTTCATCTGAACTGCTAAGGAATGAAAGTAAATGATGCACTGAAATGAAGCACCACCTGGTGATAGTAATTAGTTTTAATTAGCTATAATTACCTAGTATATAGTAATACCTTTTCGGTTTTTTTTAATTCAATTTCCTTTTATATTTACTGATATACCTACCTAATTATGTTTTAGTTATTAATCTGCGTATTTAAATATCTAGATAAATAATATTACTTAAAAATTACTTCAAATGTCCCAAAAACATACAGACGTAGTAAATATATATTTATCTGTTTTTATGTAGCTTTAATAAGTACTCTACATACTCTAAGATAAAAAAAAGAGTTAATATTTTTTTTTAGTTTAATATGGCGCAATTGTTGTTAATTTTAAAGAGTATATTTTTTATTATTAATAATTGCTATATTACCATTAAATAATTTTAAAGTGAAATCTGATATACAGGGCGAGTCTTAAATAAGAGAAAATATTTTTAGGGGTGGTATATTCTACCAAGGTACCAAGGAAACACGTATGAGTTTTTTTTTCGCGACAAAAAAAAATTGACTTTAACTTTGTCATTAACTGCTAACCTACTCTTAGGTATATCACCTTGTATAGTATTTTTCTGTAAAGCCGGTCCCACAAGAAGTGTCAAACATCTTCCAACGTTGGACACATGAACATTTGCCACATCGTGTAGAATCGTAACCACCGTAATAACAAGGCCGGAAATCTTATTCGTGACGTCATCAACTGGAGGCCTAAACTTTGATTGCATTTGATACACTTTATACGTATATAATAGATATAAACTTTATTGCACCTAATTTTTAATAAATAATAATTAAACATAAATTTTAAAAAACATCAGATTGATATCCCATCTCACATTACCCATCGTCATTGTATTTATTTATGCTGTAATAATGCTGATCAGTTTGCAACTTCTCTATTAAAACATACCTCATATTTTACTCATTAAAACAATATTTTATTACTTCAAGCTCAACCTGTTACTCAACTCAAATTAATAACTTTAATATTGAACACAGATAAAAGTTAGAAATTTTTTATTATTTTCATCGCATTTTAAAGAATTTAGTAAATAACAAGCATGACTAATATTTTGATCAGTATTACTATTAGGGTTCGGAAAACTACATGTTACTCTTAAAAACAACATAAACTACATTACATATAGTTAATGTAGTTTAGGATGTAGTTTATGTAACTTTCAAATATGAAAGGTTTCAGATGAGGTAAAAGATAAGTAAGAGCTTTAGAAAATACATATAAATATATTTGGGAAAACAGAAGAAATATAGCTTTAAATATAATATTCACATTTTATTATTTAGACCTCTTATAAAGCGGAAAATTATTAAACGATGGCCATATTATAAATCAGGTTGAAAAATACCGTATGATCGAAAAAAAAGGCGTCTAGTTGACTTGGAAATGATGATCGATGACATTCCCCATAAAATTTTGCATATAAAATGACAGCGATCTTCATTTCATAGCCATCGCTGACGCCCTTTTTTTTCGATCATATTCTACTTTCTACAAACTCTTGACAAAGATTACTAGGTTATTATCTTATAGATATTAAAATATTTTGAGTTTTCATATTTTATAATAATTTTAATAATTGAATGAATGTATAAATAATTCTTTACTTAAATAAAAAGCCATATGCATTACATTATTTCTATCAGAATTAACCTATAGGATATTTTTTTCGTAATATCAATGCGTAGTTTATTAAAGTAGTTTTTATGTAGTTAATGAACGGGAAAAAGGTAGTTTAATATTAGTATTAGAACTACACGTACTTAATCAGGCGATGTCTTAATTAACTACTTCCGAACCCTAATTACTATTAGTTTGTAAAACAAGTGAATCAAGGAATAAACATCAATCAAACATCAATTTTCATTTATAATAATTCTTTCTAAATGGTAGTTAGTTCATTTACCTGGACTGTAGTATTTTTGGCCATATAAATAGATTTCTAATTTCAGATCTAAAATGTATGTATTTAATAACAAAAAATCGGCTTTTTCATCTGTATATGTGATAAAGCAAAGTATACTTTCCTTATCAAAATGCAGACCACACATCCTGCTGTATTTTGTCACCACAAACTCATCACGATGAGTAGCTTGGAGCCCCTATTTCTGAATATTCCTATCATTAGGAAAGCGAAAAATGTGGGTTTTGGGGTTAGGCCGTAATTTATAGCGCGGCACGGAACACTATAAGGCATTATACCTTTTAAATTGTATAATTGCACACACTTATAATCACTTTATAGTTTAAATACCTCTTTTTACCGATTTATAACTTTTTTCACCCTTCTATTATCGATTATAATTACCATGTCTGCACACCTACCGATAAATCGATGATTGTCAACTGTGACTGTGGTAATACCGTAAAATATCGATAAAATACATAATATACCTATACTATGAAAAATATCTATTTTTTATTGTTTTTTTTTCTCATATTATACATTACTGTGAACTTAAAATATTCCTTTATTAAATTTGATTGATAAAAAGTGAGAGATAAACATATTTAAAACTATTTTTATATACTTACTATAACATTTTTAAAAACTCGGAAAAAGACATTTTAAAGCTTCGAAATATATCTGGTGAGTGAAAAAAAATCCACAATTTGAACTTTTATCGGGTAATTATCAACGATGCTAAATAAAGTTGGGCCTCCAGTTGGTGACCGGTGATTACAGTAGAATACACACTTGTGAATTACAATATTGTCGAAGACTATGCCAAATGATGCGTCCAACGTTGGTTCCAACGTTGGAACCAACTTTGGAACTTGGAAGCATAGTGTAGGACCGGCTTAATCACATGATTTATTATTCTACTTTAAAAAATTCTTTTTATGATATATGTATATGATATATCTTATTATTCTACTTCGTGGGGTTAACTTAAGTACTTTAAAAAAAACTCTAAGATTAATAAAAGTTTCTAAAAATAATCCACTATCTTCTACGGTCGTCTGCTGATTCTATATTTAACAAAATTGCAATTATCCAATAATACAGAAAAAAAGTAATTGAAATTATCTATCAATTAAAATATAAAACATTAATATTTATCAGGACTCGTATAGTGGAAGTACTTGACCGTGAATCATATAATAGCAGTACAGACAGCCGGGATTTGCCAGTCAAGATGATGAACCTTAACCAGATCCATATATTAATAGTTTCAGCGATAATAGTTTTATTGTCGAGTATTTCCTGCAGTAACGCCAATAAAACAAATAGTTATAATAGCAGTACCGTGGTACTTGTCCATGTGGTAAGCTAAAAATCTTTTAAAAAAATATTTTACGCTAGTTAGTATTAATAAAATCGATATGTCCATTGAATGTTTTACTATAATACATCGCAAACCTATAGCGCGTTCTAATACCATACGATCGAAAAAATAAACGGCGTCACAGGGTGCTGGATATAAAAATCGATGATAATTTTGGCGTGATCAAGCCCTAGATGGCATTTACTTGCCCCGTACTCTGCGTAAAAAAATAGTTGTTTAAAATTCGAGAAAATATTGTTTGAAATAAATTTGTGTGGCTGGAAACGTCCTATCCTTTTTTTAGTCTTCTATAATTATATTAATTTTCCTTAATCCAAGTCCTATGTCGTTTGGTAAAAGAGCTAGAGATTGACCTCGCCAAAATTAAGATCGATTGTAATTCATCAGCCGTTCCGACGCCGTTTTTTTCGACCATACGGTATTTTTGCGCAATTAATCGTTAAACAAGCTCCTAGCAACAACTTGACGATACAAAGCGTAGATTACTATGAGTATTAAATATTTTTAATTAAACTATTAAATATACCCAGATGCCTTAAATTATTACTACTTTCAATGCAATATGTTTACCGAATTATTTATGTCCAGATTCCGACACTTTATTATTATTTCAAAACCTTCCTAAATTTTCGAAAAAATTTCGATATTTTTCTTTGTAATTTTTCAAAAAGACACTAGAAATTACAATAGAAGTTGTTATTCTCAATTTTCTATTTTAATTTTTTTTAAAACGATTAGATTTAGCTAAACGATTAGATTTTTGCAAATTGTAAGTTTTGGGTTCGTTGAAAGAGTATTAGAGCTATAATTTAAAAATATTTTTTCAAGATACAGATTGTCCCAAATAAATAAAAAATATCAAAGTTGTATTTTTTTAAATTTAACACCCTGTATATTATTACATTTTTAGTTTCTACGATTAAAATAAAGGTTAATTTGATTAGGTTTATCACACTTAAACCTACTGTTTCTGAAATCTTTTCAATTTTGGTAGGAAATTGCAGTAAAAATTTTAGAGCTCCATTTCTCCAAGGGTATCAAAGTTTTTAATACTAAATATTTACAGAAGTTTATTTATTGATTTAGAAATTGTGTTGCGATAATAAAAAATAATTTACCTCATACAGTGTCTAAAAATGTATTTAAATAATTTAGCTTTAAACAGCATTAACTTAATTTAATGGAACAATTTATACATTTTAGAGAATCAGACGGGCTACCAGTTTGTCAAACGGCTATACCATTTTTGGTATAATACCATTTGATAGGCAATTAAATTGTGCGTCTGAAAAATGCATTTTCTTATAATTTAGGACTGCATTTATATCAATATACCCATGGAATATTGACATTTTAGATTGTTTTTTTTGAGTTTACTCTACGGTTACGACACAAAAAGGGATGCAAATACAGAAAAATGTGGTGGTTTCAAAATTTTTTAAAACAAACAATTTTTTTTAAATGTTCAAACTCGGACTTCGAATTACTCGGTTATTTCTTTTGGACTTATTTGAAAAACGGTAAAAAGAAAAATATATTTCTTTATCAATCTACACCTGAAAATATTTGACTTATTAAGACTCGCCCTGTATATTGCAACAGTAGACAAAAAAATTAAAAAGAAATGAGTTTATAAAAAAGTCGAGTTTACTTTGAGCCCCTACTTTGATTTTCAAACTCAAAATTTTAATTATAAAGTTTTCACTGTATAAAAAACAATCTATTAACAGACTTAGATGGTAATGCAGTAGATTATAATATATAGATGGTAATAGATTATGTTAAATAAATAGTATTACAGAAAAAAATGACAAATTTTAATAGCTTTTCAGACATGGCGAAAGAACTCCCGGTAAATATGACTTATGGAAAAGTAACCCATACTACAATGAAAGTTATTATAAACCATATGGTTATGGACAACTAACTAATGTAAGTACTTCATAACTTTTTTCTTCAAAATATCGATAATGCCAACTCCAGAAAAACTCCACAGCAATAAATAGTATACAGGTGAGTTTCCTACGATGTTCTTTGTGGCATCTCGGAAACTACTGGAGATAGAGAGTCGGTTGAATGGGGAAAGAATTGTGTTTTGTGGGGGTCATAAACATGTGCCTTTCAGATTTTTGAAAAAGTTCATGGCTTACTAGGATATTTCGAAAAAACTAATTTTTGGCTATTTTAAAAATCGTCTCTAATTCCGTTATAATCTATTTTAGATCAAAGTTGTAGATAATCATATCCTAATGAGATTGTGTCTCGTTTTTTCTAAAGCCTGCCTTCATTTCTGGACATATGACAACAAACATATGTTTAAATGGAAACCATAGTTGGCCATGGCTTCATAAAAGCGCCATTTTTAAGCTTCTCAGCGATATAAGCTTATAATATGTTTATTTTCGAAAAATTACTGAGTTATAGCCAATTCTTATCTTTCTTGGCTAATTTCACTTATTGGTATGGTATTTTTATTCTGTTATGATTTATAACTTATAAAAGACAGAATATTTTATTAAACGGTTTCTTTACAATTTACCTGACACAAAATAAAAAACTTAAAAAAACTAATATCACTACATACAGTACGTCTGTCCGTTCTATAGCTACGGGGCATCCGTGAGAGGGGAAACGATATTTTCGATGTTTTTCTTCTTCAAAAAAAAACAAAAAAAAAAAAATAAAAATTGACAAATTTGCAAGTAGCCAATAAAATGAGTGGGCAGAGCGATTTGCGGTGACGTACTCGTTAAGTCGACGTATAAAATATATTGTTGTTTATTTAAATGTTTTTGGCCGCATTCCTTTCATAGACACAGATCCAGCAGACGTACTGTACACTTTTAAGTTAAGTTATTTAGCAAATGTTCAAAAACCGCCATCGTTTTGAGTGCATAAAATACATCTTTTTTTAAAAACAAAGCTTTTCCCACAGAATGGCCGGTCGACTTTAATAAACTTCTTCCATACCGCCTCTTCGAGTACCTCTCTTAATCCATAAGGTTTTTTGTAAACCTTGTTGTTAACCATACAACATAAAAAAAATCTAAAATGGATTGGTCAGGTGATCGAGGAGGCCTATGCAATTAGTCCACCTCTTCCTATCCCTGAGTTTGCATAATTATGATATAAATACTTTTTAACATTTCTTTCATTATGAGGGTGAGTGTCATAATGAAAGCAATGGAAGCCACTCTTATTGATGCGCGAGTATCTAAATTTAACTTTTCTAAAAACGTAAGTAACGTTCACCGGTCAATGTATCTTCGAAAATGTATGGCCAAGAAAAGTTCAACCAATAATCCTACACGCTTTTTTTTTCATTTGAAAAATTCATATTTACAATTTTTGTTTATTTTAATTTACAAAGTTTGGATGTGACAGTTTCACATTACTGAGAGCAACGACGATTGAACTTGTTCCCATGGCTAACTAAGTGAAATTGATTAAAATTGATAAGAATTGGCTAAAACTCAGTAATTCGAAAGAAGCATATTATAGCTTATATCACTGAAAAACTTAAAAAATGGCGCTTTTTATGAAGTCATGGCCAACTATATGGTTTCCATTTAAAAAAACATATGTTTGTGTCATATGTCAAAATGACAGGCATTAGAAGAAAACGTAGGGCACAGTTTCATTATGATGTGATTATCTACAACTTCTATTCAAAAAACTTTTTGTCTAAAATAGATTATAATGGAATTAGGGGGACAATTTTTGAAATAGCCAAAATTTCATTTTTTTTTTCGAAATATTTAGTAAGCCATGAACTTTTTCTGAAATCTGAACGGCGCATGACGGCAATAAAACTGCAATTCTTTTCCCCATTTAACCGACACTCTATCTCTAGTACTTTCCGAGATACCCATAGAGAACAGCGTAGGGAAACTCACCCTGTATATTTAAAAACAATTCTGTGTATCATCATCATCATCATCGTTTTCAGCTTATTCAACCATTTCCAATTATGATGATTACCCCCTGGCATATTTAGATACTCTCTTTGTAGGTTGGGCCCATTGTTGTCTATTTTGGCTATGTGACCCTTGGTTTGGTCTTCTTCTAGGCCTCTTAATTCCACGTGGGTACTATGTTGTACTTTTGTGGTCCATCTCTTGTGTCCGTTCTTCTTACCAGGTGTCCTGCCCATTGCCATTTGAGGGATTTGACTTTGTGGATGACATCTATTACCTGGGTTTTTTGACATATCCACCATATTCTTTTACGGTCTCTCTTCATTGTTCCCAGTGTATTTCGTTCCATTGAGCGTTGTGTGACCTGCAGTTTCCTTATGATGTCCATTTTAAGTGTCCAGGTTTCGCATGCATAGGTCATAACTGGTAGTATACATTGGTCGAACGTTTCCTTTTTTAGATAGAGTGGCATTCTAGATTTGAATATGATTGAGTTTCTTCCGTAAGTACTCCATGCTAACTTAATTCTTCTGTTGATTTCTGATAGTAGAGATCCGGAGCTGTGTATTAAGTTGTTCCAAATATGTATATATATATATATATATATATATATATATATATATATATATATATATATATATATATATATATATATATATATATATATCTTATATATATATATATATATATATATATATATATATATATATATATATATATATATATATAGCAGAAGATATATATATATATATATATATATATATATATATATATATATATATATATATATATATATATATATATATATATATATATATATATATATATATATAAAGAGATAGAGTAGTCTACGCGACTGACTAGTTGAGAAAAATATTCAAACAGGTGTCTTGGGGATGCAGTCTAATAAGAAGGCCGTTAGTTCAAGGAAAAACCCTTTATTGTTTAGTCAAGCTTTCTCGAGACCAGTTACTCCTCTTCTTCAGACTCTTACAATTATAGTAATTAAATACAATTTATTCTTGTAAAAAACTATTAAAATGCAACTCACCAAAGTGGGATTATGGTAAAGTTTACAACATTGCTCAACAATCAAAAGAATCCTCATTTCTCAAATGCAGTAGTAAAATCAACTTTAAAATAATAATGCAACTAACTAATAAAAACTTTATAAAAAAACAATACAACGTGTATGTGAGTACAAAGTCAAAACACGAAAATTGCATGTCAAAATCTTAAAATACAATAGCAATAATTCTGCTTCATGAACGATCTAATTATTTTATTGTAAATACTTAAAAGACGAAAGAAACGAATTAATTTTTCAAGATTTTTACAGTAAAGTGCGTTTCTGTTAGCACTGCCGATCGTTCACTAACGAACACCATATAGTTTTAAAAAGGTAAAATATGTTAGTCTTGATAAGTAAAAAAGGATAAACTTATGCATATAATAAAAAGAGTGAAAGAGAAACAACTACATAGAAATATTTTATCACATTGGTTCGTTTCATCAGTGAGATCGACCATGCGCAATATAACATCAATGCTACACTGAGAAAACAGGCATTAGACAACTTGATAAATTAATTTAAGTAAAAGAAAAGTTTTCCCTTACATAGAACCAGACTAGAAATTACTTTAGAATTGAAAAGAAAAGCAAGATCTCAAAAAAGAGAGAATTGTAATACAAATTTTAGTATAAAATAATATTTAACATTCAAATGACATTAAGCGATGGTGAACTACAAAAAGCGATAAAAATCTTTTCAGAAACTCAACAATCAAACCCCACCCAAACTACAGTATGAAAATATAACTATTGAGAACCTTGAGTAGCCACTTGTCGCAATGAACCATATTTGCCACTGTACAAGTCTAAAATGTAACCGTAAATGACACTAAAACTCTGGGTGTCACTTCTTTGTCAACACCACGAATAAAAGAAGTATATATATATATATATATATATATATATATATATATATATATATATATATATATATATATATATATATATATATATATATATATATATTCTTCTTATATATTACATTGTTGTGTTATTTATTAGAATATATTTTCTTTCCACTCAGTTCGATGTACATTACTTTTACTGCTAACCATTTCGAAAACCCACCTTATTGCTGGCTGTATTTAGTTCATTAGTTTGTGCTTGTAGTTCTTCAGGACTATTGGCAATTTGGACTATGTCATCAGCGAATATTAGATGGGTATAGAGAGATAGAGAGATATTCTCCATCTCTTTATAATCCTTTGTTGGTCCAGTCCAGTTGACCGAAGATTTCTACAAATGTTGCTGTAAACAGCTTTGACGATATCGACTCCCTCTCCTACTCCTTTGCCAGTTGGAAACTCTGGGGTTGTTGTCTGCATCATTACTCTTGCGTTGGTTTCTTTGTATATATTGGCAATTGAGTTTCTATATAAGGCCTGTCAATACCTTGTTTCGCTAGAGCTTCTATTATTCGAGTCGAAGATATCTCGAGTCGACAGCCTTCTCAAAGTCTATAAAGACTATTTTTATTCTGTGTATATTTCCAAGTATATATTTGAGGTTGGACCCTTAGGTCTGACAACAGAAAATAAAAAACACTAGTTTACCATAATACGCCAAAATACTCTCTTTACTTTTTACACTGACGTGTGTTTCTTGAATCATCAGCAGATGATTAAAATTATTCTAATTAGTTGCTGATGATGTTTTAAAAGTAAAGTGTTTGGTACATTGATTGTCGTGAATTATTTTTTCTGATATCTATATTTTCAAGTGGTTCCTTGGGGTGAAAAAGTAAGGCCTAGGGAATATAAAAACACTTTATTCGAAACGCCATGAACTAATTCCCGAACTCAACGAACATAAAATAGACATATGTGCACTTTCCGAAACAAAAAAGAAAGGTAAAGGAACAACAAAACTAAATAACTACATTTTAACATACTCAGGCGTACCAAAAGACCAAAGAGCAACATCAGGCGTTGGAGTAGCTATAAATGACAAATATGAACAGAATATAGAAAGCATAGAATACGTGTGCGACAGAATCCTGAGAGTAAAGATTATATTTGACCAACCCATTCACATTATATCAGTGTACGCACCCGACATTAATAAACCTGAAGAAACGTCAATGGACTTCTACGAAAACCTACAGTCAGCGATAGACAAAATACCAAGACATGAAAAGATAATTCTGTTAGGGGATTTAAACGCAAGAATTGGAAACGAGGTAGTGGATGGAATAAAACAAAAATATAACGAGAATATAACTAATAGAAATGGCAAAATTTTGACCGAATTCTGTGGACAGAACGAATTGAGAATAAACAACACATATTTTCCCCATAAAGAACAACACAAATACACCTTCTATGACAATAGAAACAATCATGGATCAGGTAATAAAAACCGTCAAGAATACTGGATTAGGATATCGAATGGGAATGCATAAAGTAAACATATTATGCTATGCCGATGACGCAGTACTTATTGCAGAGTCAGAGAACGACCTCCAAAGAATGCTACAAGCTTTTAACAGACAGGCAGAAAAACTTAACATGCAAATTTCCACAAATAAAACCAAATACATGACCATTACAAATGAGCCTCTACGGTGCAAATTGGTAATAAAAAAACAAACCTGTTGATCAGATAATGTCATTCGAATACCTTGGATGCAAAATTACAAGCTCAGGATTCCTGGAAGAAGAAGTAAGGAAACAAGCCAATAAAGTTGCCGCAATATCAGGACATCTTAAATATCCCATATGGAAAAACAAACATTTGTGTACAGAATGTAAGTCAAGAATATACAAACCTGCATACGACCAGTGATGACATATGGTACGGAAACCAGAGCTGAAACATCAGTAACAAAGAGAATCCTAAGAACTACTGAAATGAAGACCTAAAGAATGATAACTGGATACACATTGAGGGACAGACAGGGAAATGTAGACATAAGAGAAAAGTGCCAAACAAACGACGTTGTCAGATGGATAAGGCAAAGAAGAAGAGAATGGAACCAGCATATCAATAGAATGGGCCCCGACAGAATGGCCACAATAATTCGCAACAACGTACCCCATGGCAGAAGACCTAGTGGACGACCACCTAAACGTTGGCAAGACAGTTGGCAGTCAACCTCGCAAGAGAGTTGCTTAGACGAGGAGGAAACCGGAACTAAACAGGCGATACGCCTTCTAAAAGAAGAAGAAGAAGAAGAAGTCTTTTCCCTTAATTCTATCATTGTCCGTATCATATGCTGTACGTAGCCTAAAGAGTAGATGGCGTTTTCTGCCTTGCCATGCCGCTAAAATATGCCATCAAGACTGTCTCCGAAGCAATATTCTTAGCATTTCTTTTGGCACACAATTTTTCGTATACTTTCAATGCTCATATCGCCCCCTACTTTTTTCTGGAAGTAAACTGGCTTCTGTTCTTTTTTGCAGCTTCTGTAAGTTCTGGTGGAGTACCAATGTTAAAGTAGTCTTCATTATCAGAACTTTCCCACAACATTCTGGCTTTCTATGTTATATAAATTGAAAAAGCGAACGAGAAATTCAAAACTGTCACTTAGTTGTTTGTTTTGCTGTTGAAGGCTTGCGCCATAACTACTGGTACCGGTAACTATACAGATATGGAAATGCCAAACAGAAAACGAAATTTCGGATATTTATACAAAATAAAATACTGTCCCTATTTTTTTAATTAATGATGTGGTTGTAAATGTAATATACAAACATCGGAGGAAAGTTTTCATTATAGTCTCGAGATTAGTCTCGACGCTACTATCAATATCAATCTCTCGACAGTAATGAAACACTTACCTCCTCGGTATGTAATTATATATACTATTATTTATCGGCTTCAAGAATCAGAAATGGAGAAAACATTGATATTAATATACTTTCTAGGATGGAAAGGAACGAATGTATAATGTGGGCGTGGAGTTACGGGAAAGGTATGCAGACTTTTTGGGAACAGACTGGGATATTGGCGTCACAGATGCATACACAACAAACAGCAACAGGACCAAAATGTCCATATCTCTGGTTTTAGCAGGTTTGTTTCCGCCCAGCGGATCTCTAGTATGGAAATCGGATCTATCTTGGCAGCCCATTCCGTATAATTACCTACCAGCAGAACAAGATAAGGTAATAAGACAATTACTAAGTTTTAATTATAAGTAGATATTCCCTTGTGCAATATCTCGCCTAGAAAATTATTAAAAAGGATATCAATGATAAATAAACAAAAATATATTTTTAATTTGGACCCAATTGTTTCTTATAAACACATTTCCAATAAATTAAAGGTAATTATTATAATAATTTTATATGATAATTTAGTTTTTGTATTTTAGGAGCTTTCATCTTGGGCTTGTTCTACAGTCTTACCATTGATTTACAACACATCTAGTACTGCTGAAAGATTAAAAGCTTACGATGGTCTTATAAAAACTCTTTCTGAAGGCACAGGTGAAGAAGTGGATTATATTTCCGCTCTGTATTTGTACTTTGGAATGCGAATTCAGGTAAAATAGTTCAGAGAAGATGATGAGAATAATTGAAGGGGTGACTGCAATTACCAGGCAGCTCCATTTTAATAAATTCTGCTATCCAAAGTAGGGAGCTCAAAAAGCTGTCCTGTTCTTGCTACAAGCGAAAGCAATGCAACTCCAAATAATTTATGTATTATTATGCTATTTATGTATTGTTGAATGAAGAGACCTGATTGTTGCAAAGAACGATCAGGCTATTTTTTAAAGGGCAATTCAGTAAATATCTCATTTTCGTAAAAAAGTGGAGTTGCCTGGTTATTGCAGACACCCCTTCAATTCACAGATGATGATTGTGCCAGAATATTTTTATTCGGAAAATTTATACGGAACCGACATTTAAATGTGAAAGGGTGAGACAACTATTGAATTTATTGCCTTAAGGCCGGTGAGACGCCTCTGATCTAAGTTATAGCCTATATACAAGGGTTATTGGACTAAGGTTAGGTTATGTTAGGGTCCATTGCAATATCTCTGGATTATTGTACCATATTATTATACCCATCTTCCTCCCATTCTGTCTTTGCGTTAAAGCATTTCTTGCTTTAACCAACATGAAATAAAATTGAAGATATTTTTTTTATTCAAAATTTGGATTTTTTGCAATATTTTAAGCAAGAACTATTTTTAGTTAAACAAAATACATTATTTTAAAAGAAACAAAATATTATTTTTTTGTAACCTTTCTTTGTAACATGCGTATTGTTTGTTAAAACACTAAATCACCACAATACACCAAAACACTTTTACTTTTTACAATGGACGCGCGTTTCGCTAACTCAGCAGATGATTAAAACTCATTGAAACTAGTTGAGTTTTAATCATCTGCTGATGATGCTAAAATGGTTAGGGAAACGCGCGTCCAGTGTAAAAAGAAAAAGTTTTTTGGTATATTGTGGTGATTTAATGTTTTATTTTGCTGTGTAACACCAAAGGTTCCAACCCCCAACTATAATTATTGTTTGTTGCAGACATAGATTTAAAATAAAATTTTAATTATTCAAATCAATTCATTGTTTCACTTTAAAAATGAACATTGCCGAATAGCATTGCACTATATTAATCCATATGTTCACAGTTAGAATAAAAGCACGGTAGTATATCCTAAGTAATACGTAATATTTTTCAGGAACAACTTGGACTTCCTTTAGAAAACTGGACACAAGCCATATATCCTGAACCTTTCAAATCATACATCATCGATTTTTACTATATCGAAACCAGTACAGAACCTTTAAAAAAAGTTATAGCAGGTAAATATTAAATATTTTCATTGACAATTATTAATACTGAAATACTGAAATAGAAATTTATTTTACTCAGTGGACAAAATTTGGATAACTTTCTTTGCTTAAATACATCTGAGTTAAATGTACTTTTTCGTTTGTTTGCAGGTTACTTTCTTAAAAAGATATTAAACGACAGCCAGAGAAAAATAAATGGCACTCTAGAACCATCAGACAGAAAAATATACTTATATTCCGGACATGAAACAAACCTAGGAACGGTTATTGGTGCTTTAGAAATACTGACCTTGAATGATATTCCACCATATGGATCGTACTTGGCGTTCGAGGTGCACAATATCGACAATGTATATGGATTAAAAGTAAGTAATGAACAGATAAAACAAGAAATATAACGCTCTTCGAAGCGTGTTGTTGGCTGCTTTAAAGTTGTCTGTTGTCTACCAGACTTGGATTGTGTGGATTTGCAGTGACTGCTTGATGTGCTCTATGCTTTTGTTCCAACGAAGCCTGTATATGCATATAGGTTTTCGTTAAATGTATATTCGTATATATTTCGTATATGTATATGTATAGGTTTTCATTAAACCAGTCTGGTTGTTTCTTTTTGTTCGACTTTCCCAGTACTGCTTCGCTGGTTTTATAAATCGCATCCCTTAATTGTGTCCAGCCTTTTTCAGCTTCCAAGATTGAGATTGAAGTTATCGGTGGAAGTGATTCTTTGATGGCTTCTTGGAGGGCGTTGGCGGTATTGTTGTTCTCTAGACCCCGTACGTTCAATCTGGTCATGTTGTTTTGCTTTTTACAGTGTGGATGTTTGGGTTTTAACTGGATTTTCATTTTTGAAATTAAAAGTACTTGATAGGAAGTATGTTGAAGGGATGAATGTTTAAAATTCGCTTTGAACTGTTCAATTACGCTGCTTAATGGACCTCTACAAAATTTAAAATTTCTAGAACCGTTCTAACAATTTTTTGTACAAACTTTTCCCCTAATTTTACTGAACTCACTTTCATCATTAATGTACACAAATTTTTGTATAAATTCTCATCCCTTATTTCTTAGGAGATGAATGTTCAAAATTCGCCGGTCAAAATAAACCAAAAAATAAGAGTAAAGGTACATAAATTTACAACAAGCTGAAAATGCGTGTGTAATCGTTTAATATATAATTAAAAACAACAAACAAAAAACCACATTTTAAAATTCAAAATCATTCCGCTGCCTGGAAAAAAATTATGCGAGGTCAAAGGTCAAAAATTTGCAAAAGGTCAAAAGGGCAAAAAACATTGTTTCTTCGCCATTTTCAGCAAAACGGTAAGTTTTATCATAAAATACTTCTAACAAAAACTATAGATCATAAAATTCTCTATAAAAATGTATCAATACGTTTTTCCTTAGAGCCACTGTTTCTGAGATATAACGAGTCAAAGAGTTGTAATCGTCATAATATGCACACGTTTCCACGCCACCTATGAGGTAGTGTACTTAGCGCGTTTTTTTAACATGGTTTCCCCAGTAGGCCTATTCCACATGTCTATTGTGATTCTGTTTAATTGAAAACTATTGCAGAATAAAATTATGGATTGGAAATTACAAAAGCGATGGAAATTAACATCAGTTGCTGCTCACCGACATCTTTTCCAGGTATATTACCAAGTTCAGGGTGGCTTGGTTATCAGCTAGATCCAAAAGCGGTTGGAAGTTGGTCTACAATACATTAGAACCAATTCAGACTTTACTCCCACCTGCTTTTTTTGCAACTGTAAAAAGGGATGCAGTGCATTGGTTGTAAAAAAGTTGGGCTATTTTGTTCTCTGGCATTTACAAATTGTCAAGGCCCGTCATGTTCCAATGTTGAATCACCAATATTAGAGGATTCGTTTGATACCAACGAAGAAACATGCGATACATCACTATTGACGCAATTTACTTAATCTAGGATGAAGAAAACGAACAAGATGAAGATCAAGAAGAAGAAGATCAAGAAGAACAAGAAGAATTATTTGAAGGTTATGAATCAGACTAGTAAATTTCTATTTTTTTATTTCCATCGCGTTTATAATATCTAATCCTTACTAATATCTTTAATTCTGCAATAATTTTGAGCTTTTCAGGTTTTCAATTAAACAAAATCGCAATAGACATGTGGAATAGGCCTACTGGGGAAACCACGTTAAAAAAACGCGCTAAGTAGACTACCTTATAGGTGGCGTGTTATATCTCAGAAACAATGGCTCAGCTTGTAAATTTATGCACCTTCGAATGTCTAGATTGACCAGGCTACTGTACAAAATTTCACGCTCCTAGGACTAATTTAAAAAAAATACAATGTGAGATTGTCCGCTGATGGTTCCAGTAATTCACCATTGTTTAAGCAATATTTTGTTTTTATGTTTTAGATATATTATCAAACCCATGAAAATGATGATCCTACTTTACTGACACTACCAGGATGTCAAGAATTTTGCCCATTTGACGATTTTGCGAAACTTCTTTCAAATATTATACCCCAATCGGACAGTGAGTGTGACGGATAATAACGATTATTATTATGAAAATCTTATTTGTACATGTTTATCCTCTGTAAAGCAACAATTTGTTATAAAATGATTGTATCAGATTTACTTGTTTTGTTTTCTAAACTAAATCCCCAATATAATAATAAAATATCACGTAAAAGGTACAGAATAATTATTATAAAAAAAAACTAAAAAAACAAAGGTCAAAAAATTAATATGATTAATTATTTGACGATATTTAAATTAATAATAGATTAAAATAATAATAATAATTAAAATAAAAAATTAATTTTAATAGATTTAAATTAAATTTTCGCTTAAAGGTATTGTGACTATGGAAAAAAATAAACCTAGATTGTTCTGAATTTCTATTGTTATTGATATTTTCAGTCAGCTGCGTTTTGCGGGGATACACTTTCGAGTGGGCATGATCCTCATAGATTGTGTATCTCAAGAATCGGCGAATTGGTTGGTGGAAATCGCACCTAAACTTAAAAATTGGCAAGGGCCGGAACTGGTTGCAGTGAAGGGAGAAAATATCCCTAAAGGGGCGGCCATCACGGTCTTTCTGCCGAGGAGCAAGGGGAAAGCTAACCTAACCACCTACCTGCTAAACTTTATCCAGGGTCAGAACTTCAATGTAAGGACATCGAGTTGGCTAGTCGTCAACTCGAGGGAGGAGGGTCAGGATCAGGTCCTCACAATAGGAATTGACCTCAAATCCAAGGAGGCAATAGAGAAAGAGATCCTCTATTACAGATACGGGACAACACCGGTATCAGGTCTAAAAAGAGACCAAGTTAAAGAGGTGGAGAAAATGGAGACAGATCCAAGCTCCTCGACTGTGAAGGGCGGCACGGAGGGCCAAACTCCAACCGTGGAAGGGTGTGTACCTTCGGAGGAAGAACTGTTGTCAGAGGAGGATGGGAAATACCCTGTCCCTTCTACAACAGGGATATGATGGGTTGTAGACTGTGTGATGACTCAAGGAAGGGGGGCACAATAGATCTTTAAGGTCGCAGTGATTAACCCGTCCTCTTACTCATTCTACATTCTACATTCTACAACTTGAAGAGATAAGTAAAAAAAATTAAATTGTGCATCTGATTCGCGCAAAATATACAGTTCTATTTAACAAGTTATTGCCGTTTAAAACCAGTAATTGTTTAATATACATTTTTAGATACTCTGTATGAGGTAGTATTATTTTTATTATTGCAACACAAAATTTAGTAAATAGAAAAATTTCAGTACACTATTTGGTTTTAAAAACTTAAATACGTCGAGAGAAATGAATCATTAAAATTGTTACTGTATCTTCACAAAAACGTAAATATTTCAAAAACGGTAAGAGTGCGGTAAACCTTAATTAAATTTATCTTTATTTTCATTCTAGAAACTAAAAATGTAATAATATACAGGGGGGTGACAGTAAACCGGAAAATTGGAAACCGTTCTGGCGCGGTCCTACCCAGGCAGAAAGCATGGCCTTCTAGACTGTCCTAGACAAAAATCTGAATATTTCTATATGATTTCTGTCAATTTCTGTTACGGAACATTTTTATGCACGTCGGCGTCCTCTTCTTTCGTCTGTATATCAGCTTATGTGTCAACTCCTGAGGCCTCTGGTAAGGTCGGGCGCCATTTTAATTTTTGCCGTTTATTGATTGGAAGTTTGTTTATGATATTTCGGCTGAAATTTATAAGTACAAAGATGTTTTTTGATATAAAGTTCCTTGTTAACACTTTAATAAAGTATATATGATATTAATTACATAAAGAAAATGATGAAATCGACGTTTCTGCATGTAGTAGGTATGGGCCATATTATATGTAAAAATAGGTAATATATTAACTGTTTTTATATTTTTTTAGCTTTAGATCCAAGAATCTTGGGATATTCTTTGCCAAGGATTTTTCCGTATCTCTACTTTAAAGACTGATCGGAGATTTTGAGCAATTGAAAGCAAGTTACACAAGGTAAATTATGATTATTGAAATATTATTAGCCTACATTAATTATCTACAAGATGAACAGAAATGCGTAATTACATATCACATAGGTCCTATTATGTATTTTCATAGCAATAATGCTATGTATGTAGATTATTTTTAAAATACAAATGAGGTATTAGATGTATATGTATCATATTTTTTATTCATTTTTTTTCATTCAAGTCCTGTTTGATTTAATTCACAAAAGTCTTATGTACCTATATTTATGTTTTTTTACATATTTTTTTTTGATTCCAGGTTTTGCGTGGGTTCCTATTGTCTTTTTTCTGTTTCCATTTAGTTAGTTTTACGCCCGTGAAGCTGTGAAAACATTTATTTATCTTCAAGTTTCTGTTATTCACTTTAACACAGCATCTCTGATGTTATTTAAATATTTGATATTGATACAGTAGTTTATGTGTTTATAGCTCTTTAATTGTGTTGATTTGCATATTTACATTGTTCTAAATTCCAAATAAATATTTTTGAGTAATTTTGTTGTATTCAATTTATATATTATTTATTCATTTTAGATACGAAACAAAGCAGAATCGGACCTATGTTCATATGAAAAATAAATCTTATTTTTACGTGAGGATGAATCTCCCCACGAGAGATGGCACATGTTTTTTGAAACACCCTGAATATTTTTTTTTATTTCACAGATGACACTACGGTTTGAAAATAAGTTTAAATTGTAGCCTTTAGTAGCCCCCCAACAATCCCATCACTCACAATTATTTCTAAAAATCTAATCGTGTAGCTACAATACTCGTGTGTCGAAAAAGATGAATAACACTGTAGTTACGGAAATATCTGATATTTTATATTTTTACTTATGTAGGTATACAAAATTATACCATAATTCTTATCATCGAAATCTTAAATAATAAAGTAACGCCACTTTATTGCAATTAAGTAATTTATAACTGATCTTACGAAACTTAATCACAGATTAATAGATAAAAGTGATGATGGAAACAACTTCAATCATTTCATAACGTGAAAATCGTATAATGATGGTGTCGTATGGTGAAAGTGCGCAAATATAAATGATCTTTTGGTGCAGAGAAATACAGTTTGAACGGTCAAAATGAAATATTCAGGAACGGTTCAAATAATCTTGTTATCATCAAAAGTATCTAGCCGAACTGTGAAGAAAACGAGGAGTTATAATACTGATACCTTAGTTCTTGCTCATGTGGTAAGTAAATATATTTAAAAAATATCTAAAAATATACCATAATCAGCGGCGTATCGGGCATTGCGTCAATACTGGTCAATACAAGGGGATAAATGTAATAAATATTTCAAAACCAAAATTATCATCGACAAACCGCATCAACAAATGGTGAAAGCGAATACTTATTTTATCTAGTTATCTACATATAGGAATACCAAGTGTTGCATCGTCGAGCGGGACATAGGAAATCCCATGTCAATTTTAATGAGGTTAATTATTGGCTTCCCTAATTATTTTAGAGAATAATTCTATTTAGGTTTATTGAAGAGCACTAAAACCCACATTCAAAAGAATAACTTTAGATATTTTTGATTAGCCCGTTTACGAGTTATTGCCGGATTTTTATTTCTCTTTTTATTATGAGCACCAGTCAAGGTAAAAAGATAACTGTCAAATTAAGTTGTCATTTCAGAAATTTATCTATTTAGTGCTTTTATTATTATTATTAAAAAATTCATACCTACATCGAAAATATTAGCCATGAATTACACTACCGAAGAAAAATTATTGATGATTAAAAGGTAATATCAAGGAAATAGTTATCAAAAGGTGTCGGACATGTTTGCTTCTCTCTATCCGAATAGACCGATACCTGAAAATCTATAATCGCAAGGAATATCCAGAGATTTGAGATCAAAGGCACCCTAATAAATAACTGCAGATGTGAAGCAAGGCAGGAACAAAGAGAGAAGATACAAGAAATGATACCGACTTGGAAGTTTTATTGGGCGTGGAAGAGAACGATGGAAAGATCAGCACAAGGAAACTTGAGGATGAAATAGGAATAGATCACACTACAGCGTTTCGGATTTTGAAACGACATAAATACGATTCCTTCAAATATGAAAGCACCAAGAGCTACGAGATGGGGACGAAATATGGCGGCAGGCGTTTTGTTTTGATATGATGGAAAGAGCAAACACGGATAAGGAATTTTTAAAAAAACATATGTTTCAATTGACGAAGTATGTTTACTTTAAATAATGAACCCAATGTTCAAAATTATCCATATTGGAACAAAGAAAACCAACACAGGTTTGACGAAACAAGGACACAATATGCACATAAAGTAAATGTTTCTGGCAGGGATATTTGGACACAATATTATCGGGCCATTATTTCTTACGCGAAATTTTAAATGCAGAATATTATTTGGAACTACTCCAAAATCATATTTTACCTGCTTTCCATGATGCCGCTAGGGAAAATCAGGAAGTTTGGTACCAAATGGATGGCTGCCCGGCACATAGTACCCTGGCTGTTCGGGAATATTTAGATAATAGTTTTAACGGTAACGTTATTGGCCTAAATCATATAGTAAATTGGCCAACAAGGTCTCTTGATATTTCGCCAAATGATTTCTTTCTCTGGGGCCATTTAAAAAACAGGATATACAAGATAAAAAATACCCAAATCTAGACGAGTTAAAAATGCTATTTCTGCCGAATGCAATAGAATTCAGTTTACCAACTAGCGAATGTAAGAAGAGAATTATATGATCGCCTGGGTTATTGTCTAGCAGTCGATGGAGGAATATTTGAACATCTTCTTAAGTCCTAAAGTTCTAACAATTGAATAGTACCTAAATTAATATGTTATTGAATATGAAAATAATACTATAATTAACCTTGTAATTGATTAGTTTATTTTATTTAATCTCATATTAATTTAGATTATAAATACATCTTTAAGATTTCCGATGTAGGAATGAGTTTTCAATAATAACAAAGCCCTAAATAGGTACCCTGAAATAAATCATTTGACAGTTATGTTTTACCTTTGACTGTGCTCATAAGTAAATACAGGCCATAAGAAAGGAGAAATATTTAAAAGAAATCATTCTGATAACTACAAACGAGCTAA